GCAATCTTTGAATGCCTCTTCGACTTTCGAGACTTTCGACTCGTGACTTTTCGTGGTTTCGATTGGTGGTTGACTCGTGACTTGGGGGTATGGCGTCCATTGAATCACGAAGCACGAATCACGCGTGACGTCTCTGCGTCGCTTGCGTTCATCGTCCTGCTCCATCCCCAACGCCCACGCCACCAGCATCAGCATCGAAAGGTTGCAGTCACTAGTACGAGCCACGAGTGCCCCTCGCAGTCGCTGTCATCAGCGCATCGCTGCACTCCACTGCACTCCCCTTTCATCCCCACCATGGCTCGCGCGCGGGGTGGACGTAGCAGCTCTCATCATGGCAAACACCAACGCACGCACGCGCCCACGCGCACGCACACCGATCATCGCAGTCAAGCGGCTGCAAGGGTGAGCAGCAAAGCTCGCGCTTCCGGTCCAAGCAGCATCCACGACGTCTACCAATTCCTCACGAGCCATGCTGGTGATGATGGCACAAGTAGTGCGCACAAGGGCAAGGGCAAGGGCAAGGGCAAGGCATCGAGCGCAGAGAAGAGACTAAAACGAGCATTGGTGAATGATGCGGCGGATGAAGACGCCGATGTGCGTCGAGGCGGCGGCGGTGGCGGCGGTGGTGTTGGTGGCAATGTGGATAGCGATCAAGAAGCCGGAGCATCGACAGCGGCAAGCGGATCACGTGGTCAGGGATTCTTGGACGTGAACAGCGAGGAAGAGAATGGCGTGCTGGAAGAGGACGACGAGGAGATCGACTCGGACGAAGCGTGGGATGAGGCGGATGAGCATAGGTTCGCAGATCTCTTGCCCGTCAGCAACCGCGCCTCCAAGAGGAAGCGTGCAGATGACGACGATGATGATGATGATGATGATGATGAAGCGGCTGAGGAAGAAGGCGAGATCAGCGAGGACGACGGCGAGGTTGACGATGAGGATATGGTGGACATCTCCCGCATGCTACAGGACAGCGACGAAGATGATGATGCCGCCACGCAGTCCGATTCTGGTGTTCATGAGGATAACAGCGACGACGACGACGACGATGACGATGACGGCAACCATACCGCCAACGCTTTGCAGCGACGCATGGCCGCACTTGCCGCAGTTGACACTTCCAAAGCTGGCCCTCACCCCGACGACGACGACGACGACGACGACGAGCGACCGGAGGGCAAGCGAAGATTGTTAGCCGCTCGAACGGAAGCTGTGCCAGAGTCTGCATACTCGGCAGCCGGCAGCGGTGGGCACAAGGTGCGCGTAGAGGATCTGCTGGCAGGTTTGGGTCAGACTGGCGCCAGCTACACCGATTTGCGCAACACTGCCAAAACACTGTCCGACGTCAAGCGCGCGCACGCAAGAGATGGCAGCGGCGGAGGAGGAGCGTCCAAGAGAAAGGGAGCACCGCTTCAAGCTCCCTTGCCATCCATCCTGCAGGATCGCATAGATCGAGCGGCAGCGCACGAACAATCTAAAGCGGAAGTCGAGGGTTGGGCACCCACCATCAAGAGGCTGCGAGAAGCCGAGCATCTGTCCTTTCCCCTGCAAGACGATAAAATGGTGCCGCAAAGTGTGGCTGCATTGACCAGCAGCGAGAATGTCAAGCCGACGAACGACATGGAGCGCAGCATCGCCGCTCTGCTCGCTCAGGAAGGCATGACAGATCGCAATGTTGGCAAAGCGGAAGAGTTGGCCATGAATGAGCGAGGCATGGATCGCGAGCAGATCAAAAAGAGGAGAGAAGAGCTGAGACATATGAGGGAGCTGCTCTTTCGCGAAGAGCAAAAGGCCAAGCGGGTGAGAAAGATCAAGAGCAAGACGTACAGAAAGATTGCTAGAAAGCAGCGCGAGAGGCAAAAGGCGAGCGAAAAGGAAGCTGGATTGGGAAGCGGAGGAGAGGAGGAGGAGGAGGAGGAGGAGGACAGAATGGAAGCGGAGAGGGACCGCGCCATGGAGAGGGCAACGCTGAAGCACAAGAATACGGGCAGATGGGCAAAGAATCTGGTGGGCAAGCACGCTACCATGGAAAATGTCGAAGCACGAAACGCCATCGAGGAACAGCTCTTGCGCGGAGAGAGGCTGCGAAGACGCATACAAGGCGTGGAGACGGACGATGAGGCGGAGGAGTCTGACAGCGACGATGCAGACCAGCCGGACGAGGACCCGTTCGATGAGCTCAGGCGACTTCAAGGCCAAGAGGAAGAAGTCGCTCCCAGCAGCAGCAGCGGCAAGAAAGCTGCCGTGTGGGACATGAAGTTCATGTCCGATGCCCGCAAACGTGACGCGCAACAGCGGCGCGATGAGGTGGACGACTTTGAGCGCGAGATGGCTGCTCTTGACAAGCAAGGCGTCGGTGAGCACGAGGAGAACAGGACTGCGACAATGGATGGCGTGCGGAGCTCTGTGCAGGGCAACGTTGGAAGAGCAACGTACGCGCCGAAGCAGGCTCGAGGTGCTGCTGCATCGACAGATCGACGTCCGACCCAAGCGAGTCAATCTCGTGGCGCAAACGACAAAGAGACCCTGCAGCCCAGCGCGTTCGAATCGAGCAAGCCGATTTTGGTCTCTCAACCCAAGTCTAGTGTCGCTCAAAGTACAAGCGTCGAACCTGGTGCCGCCGCCGCCGCCGCCGCCGCCAATCCCTGGATGTCTAGCACCGACCGAGGCTCAAAGGTATCGAGGAAGAAGAACGAGACGTTGGTGGCCAAGGACGCGAGCGCGCTGGACAGAGCTGCTAACAGGATGCAGCGTCATCGTGCCAAGGGAGAAGAGGGACGCATGAGCGCGGAAGACGACGCCAGGTTGGAGATCGATCCAGAGGCCAGACTGCGTTTCGCGGGTGCGGAGATTGGCGAATCCGCTCTGGCTGCCAGCGCCAAACGGCCTTCCCAGGCAGATGAGCCGGACATTCGGCAGCACGGCAGCGCGGGCTCGGACTCGGACTCGGACTCGGAGTCGGGTGAGCCTGCGCTCGTGTCTGCCCAGCGCAACGCAAGCAGAGGGGGAGAAATTCGCATTCCTGGCGCGCTGCAGCAACGAGACTTGGTTGCGGAAGCTTTCGCGGGAGACGACGTGGCGGCAGAATTCGAAGCTGACAAGAAGGCCATCATGGAGCGAGATGCGCCCAAAGAGGTGGACGAGACGTTGCCCGGGTGGGGTAGCTGGGGTGGCAAAGGAGTCAAAAAGGCTCGCGGTCGGGGCCAACAACAGCAGCGCAAATATACGCGAACGATTGCGGGATTGGAAGCTTCTCAGCGCAAAGATGCCAACATGAAGGGGGTCATCATCAATGAAAAGAGGGACAAAAAGGCAGACAAGTTCAAGGCGAAGGATCTGCCCTTTCCTTATACCAGCGCTGCTCAGTACCAGCTTGCCATGCAAAACCCGATCGGACCCGAGTGGAACACGAGGACCACGCATCAGAGACTCACGCTGCCTCGCGTCGTTACGAAGCCTGGCAAGGCCATCTTGCCCATCCAGCGCAAATTCTGAAGTCGACAATGACACTTTTACGTGTTGAGACCCACGCCGCATGTACTCTCCTCTCTCACAGCATTTCATGACCTATTCCATGCTCGTGTCGGGCGAGAGAGAGAGAGAGAGAGAGAGAGAGAGAGAGAGAGAGAGAGA